GAGTGTAAGAATAAATAAAATGAATTATTGCAATAGCACCATATCAGCTGTTTACTCTCTTGATCTAGCAACGCCATTCAATTTTCGCAGGTATCATTTTCGTCATCAGAGTACCGGCAAAATCGACGAGGCAAAAAGTTTTTTTTTCTTCCTTTTTTCACAGAGTTTTTTTATATGGTGTTTGGCCGCTATCACAATTGTTACAGCGGATTTTCGTCGTCAGATTAGGCCTAAACAAACAAAAAATGGTTTTTAAAAAATCAGCTTTTTTCTTAGTTTTTTCTTTATTGAATTCCGCTTTTTTCAGCTTTTTTTTTTGTTAATCCAGCTTTTTTTGCTAAAAAAAAAATGACATCACTGTCACCAGCATCCCGCTGGTGATCGCCGTCGTTCTCTACGGGGTCTCTCTCTGTCAGCAGCACTTCTGGGAGCGTCCGTACTGCCCCACGCGCTACCGCTGGCTCCTGAACCACGGACCGCGCAAGCTGCTTTTCTTGGCCGCTCATATCTTGGTTGGATTCCTAACCGCGTGGCTCTACACGGGATATCTGCACACGGACTATCAGCATCTTCGGTACGAATGCTACGGCCAAGACTGCGTGAGCACCTACCATGTGTACCTGCTGGGCGTAGGCATTACCGCCGGAATCTGCTACTTCGCCTCTGTCCACATGCGCCACGAGGTCTCCATTGAGTTCCCCATCGTGGAGCAGTCCCGCGGCGAGAGGCTCCACGAACTCCTGTACGCCAGCCTGGCTCGATCCCTGTTCAGATCGCTGTTGCCCACGATTAGCTATACCTTGGCATTGTGGCTGTTAGGACCCCTAGTGTGCCGCAAACTGAGCCACTTCCTGTAGGTGGACCTGGACAAGCGACTGGAGGGTTTTTTCGGTGTGGCCACCAATGTCCGTCTCCTCTTCTACGGCTGGTTGCTAACTGCCCAGATTCTGAGCAATATGCACCTAATGCACTGCTTCTACGGCATGCTACTATCGGAGGACATTCCCCTGGTAGTGGCCAAGCAGCGAGCGCCCTTTGTCCACGTAAAGGAGGTGACCGTGGTGGCGGGACTTGGGGTTTTTAACTTTTACGTAGTAGAATGCCTGGCTGCTCACTATGGTACTTCTACAAGTTGGCCAGCTCACAGAGCCGGGCAACCGGCCGGCGAACTGTCGAGTGCTCTGCGATCAGAGTCTGAGCATCCTGGGCAGCTTCACAGAGGAACTAACAGAGTCTATGCAAAAGATCAGCGTGCTTAAGGACGCCCAGAGCTTGCCCGTACCACCCAAAACCATCGAGTCCACCAATGCTAGCTTGATGGCCGAGAAGTTGCTCATGCGGCAGTACAACCAGATGCACGGCATCCGGCCAATTGTGTCGTCAGCCCAGGAAGCAGCAGTGGAACGGCCGGTCAACGGCATCCGCCATGTGCCCAACTGGTGTGAGTGTGTGTCAACACAGATTGAGGGAGTGTTTCAGCGTCTGTTGAAGCGAGTCCCCGGCATCGTTTTTTTATGATTTATTTATTAAGAATAGCAAATATCTGCCATTTTGAATCCATATCCTTACCTCAGACCGGATAAGGAGTGTTTTTTAATGATATGCTCCGACTCACATCAGGTGGTCAGAGGCAAGGATAGGTGTCTTAAAATATTATTTTTTTTAAAGTCTAATGACATTTCAAAATATAACAGAGAGTACATGTCGTTGTAAAGCGAACATAAAACGAGAAAAGGATCGTGTGCCTCGAAATTAGTTTTACAAATATCCAAAGCTATAGGCCGAAAGTAACGTGATGCCCTAGAAGGAACTGAAAAGCGTATTTGCTTAAGGAGATTACTGGAAAAATATATCCATTTATTAATTTATGCAGGAACATCACGCCATGGCAGGTCCGACGATCCTTAAGAGAGGGCAGGTCCAGAAGGCGTAGTCTGTCGGCATACGGAGGAAGGTGGCGATGTGGGTCCCAGTCTAAACCCCGAAGAGCGAACAAAAGGAATTGTTTCTGTACCGATTCGATAAGGTCCTGATACTTTGCATATTGGGGGAGTATGGGCCGAACCAGCGATATATATAAGAGTTTTGTAGTGTAGGGATCATCGAATTCCTTAGACCATCGTTTTACGAAAGCAAAAACACCCTTTGCTTTACCGACAATTATACCGATGTGATCGGTGAAGCTCAAGTTGTGGGTAAATAGAATACCAAGATCCGTTACAGAGTGAATACGTTCAAGAACACTCGTGCCTAAGAAATAGTTGGGCTGGAAACAATTTCTGCGGTAAAACGACATGTATTTACATTTGGAGTTGTTAAGAAACAATAAATTGTGAGTGCAAGGGGACAACATGTTGTTTAAATCAGCTTGCAAAAGCTGAGCAGAGTCAGGATTCACAAGAGGCAAACATAGTTTTACGTCAATAGCATACATCAAGACGTAAGAGTGGAGAATAACTTGGGACAGATCATTTATAAAAATGCCAAATAGAAGAGGACCGAGGTGGATCCGTTGAGGAACACCAGAAGTCACGTGAACAAGGTTTGAGAATGAACCCTTGAATGCAACTCTTTGAGTACGGTTCGACAAATAAGTAGAAATCCACTTGATCAACGTAACCGGAAAACCCAACAGACAAAGTTTCTTCAGCAGTAATTGATGATTCACCGAATCGAAAGCTTTGCTGAAATCTGTAAAGATAACATCGGTTTGGGTGTTATTTTTAAACGCGTTTCTAATGACAGCAACAAACTCAAGGAGATTTGTAGACGTTGATTTACGTTTCATGAAGCCATGCTGTGAGGGGGACATTATTGAGCTACATTGGTGCTGAAGCTGAGTAGTAATTAGAAATTCGAATAATTTGGGAATCGCACTAAGTTTTGCTATACCTCTACTGCCCTTTTTATGAAGCGGAATTATAAACGATTCTTTCCAAACTTTGGGGAAAAACGAACGTTTGCGTAGCCTTGCTTAAGGAGGATCGCTATGGGGTGGTCCAGAACGATCTGCCGGCCATCATCAAGGCCTTGAACAAGCTTCAAGGGGAGCTGCAGAAACTGAGCAGCGTGATAGGAAGCCTGTGGGCGCCCAGCACTGCATTCAACGTCCTTCATTGCGCTGTGCGCCGTAGTTTGTACAACATTTGCAACTCCTTCGGCGACTACCTGGGGGATCTGCTGGATCTGAGGATCTGAGGCGACGGCTCCAAGATGGATGGATGAGTTGGAGCCGGCATATACTGTTCAGACCCTTAAATGAGGCTGTCGTATAAGCTACCAAGCTACTGCACTATATTCCAGGCGAAAGTATTCGCCATGAGGAAAGCAGCAGAGCTTGCGCAGAGCATAAACCGCCCACATAAGGTGGTCAATTTGTTCGTAGACAGTCAAGCGGCGATAAGATCAATGGAATCATCAGCGGTCAGTTCCAAAAATGTACTGGCAAGCAGGGAGTCACTAGATAGCCTGAGCACGACTAAGTCAGTGAGGATCTACTGGTTTCCCAGCCACAAAGACATAGACGGTAACGAGACCGCGGACGAACTACCAAAGGAAGGCGTCGGACTGGCGAATGAAAGAGCATAAAACGTCCCTGTCTCCCTAAGAACGCGCAAAGAGCGCAACGAGAGGCTCATTCACCACGTGCTGCATCTTCCGCGGAAGGACTGCAGAATGTATGCCGGTATTCTAACAGGCCTGTCTGCTGCACATGCAGTCAAGCTGGGTATTACCGACAACGCCAAATGCCGGAAATGTGATGAATCCGAGGCAAGTGAAACATTGGAGTATCTAATTTGCAAATGTCCGGCCCTAACGTGGGCAAGGATGAGATACTTAGGCTCTCCGGTTCTGGCATCGCTAGAAGATTCCTCCAGGTGGGAGCCAGGCGATCTCCTTGCCTTTGCGAACAAATCTTCAAGAATCTCGAAACCAGCATAAATAGTCTCTAGGTCCATCCAGGAATTTGCCATGCCATTATGGCCTATGCGTGGCCCCATGAAGACCGTCCGGTTTAACCTAACCTGAGTTTCTTCTTCTTTTTAATTTTAGGTCTTTGATTATTTAATCTTCTCATCATTTGAGTACATTACATCTTTTAAATAGTTCAGTGTTCGGTGATCTGTAACCAGTTAGGGTATTTGTTCGAAATATTTTGTAGGTTTAACAATATCTCAGCTTGCTTGTAGTCCTTTGTATGTGCCATCCGGTGGTTTTTGCAGCTTGCAACTTCACCTCCTTAGGGCAGATTTATGACTTTCTTGATGATAAATAAAGAGAGACTCCAGAAAAAGATCCCTTTGTTCTATTAATCACTTAATCAATTATGTATTTGCCATTAGGTGAAGTTCTGTCCCACCAAAAGATTAATAGATTTTTGATTTTTATTCGTTTTTGCTAATTAGACTGGATTTCTTATTAAATAAGATTCGGAAGAACCGAAGAGTATTGAACATTTAACAATTTTTAAGGGGAGAATGAGAGAAAGATAGAGAAATTTGATTCTATCAGTATCGATTTGTCCTGAAATTACACGCAACAAAAAAAAAAGAGTAAATAAGTATTATTTTGAGAAACACAGTTTTTTTAAACAAAGTAAAATTAATATATTCAGGGAGGAAAAATATACTGTAACAGTATAAATATATATTAATATGTATATCTTGAATAACATCAACTGAAATAATTATTTACAGCTTGGAGCTCTTTTTTATTTTCCAGATCCTATGGCAAAAAAAGATAAATTGAAAAGTGGAACCAAGTTCACTTTAGAGTTAAAACTAAAACTAAAAAGATTTAATGAGATAAAATCACACGTTTCATGGTTTAACCCTATTAATTTCCATATATTAAATTAACCTATCTTTACCGAAGAATTAATTATTGTAATTTTACATTACAGTTTTATTTATTATAAAATACTTTTTGTATAAGGAGTTCTTAATTTTTTTTTCTTATTTATAATAAGTATATTTATATATTTAATTTAAAGGCGTAAGTATATTGATAAATTATTCTCTGAATGTTTTAGATACAAGCAAGTTTACAATAATTATAAAATTTTTAGCCCAACAGATACTTTTCAGTCATAAAAAGGATATCTTAAATAAATATGTATATTGTTATATCCCGTAAATTTGTTGTCCTCTACAGCATTAAGTTGCTTGGATTTACTTAAGGGGCCATTGGCAATGTGCTCGATTGTCGAGAGTTTTCATTAAAATTGTTCATTCGTATTATAAATTAAACGTATACATACGTGATTCGTGTTAACATAGGTCATTCAATCATTAAATGCATCTTTTATGCATACAAATAAATGTTATACAATATAATTAAAGTAAACATAAGTTAATTTACAAATAGTGCGTATTATATGTATATATATTCATTTTTAAATATAAAGTTTGAAATGTAATTTGCAGATGATTCTATTTTTATGCTAAAGCTATAGAAAAATAAAATACTCATTCTCAATTCAGTATATTTATATTCGTGTTATATTGATGGTTTCGTTTATGGATTCTTTTCTTAACAGCAACTTCGTATCATTTTCTATTTCAATTGGTGAAATTCCAGCACTACGATCATTTAAATAGGGAGTGTCCTCTTCCACAATTTTTTCGAGTAGGACGTCACCGGAGTTGGGCAGACCTGAAAAGTGATTTAATTACCACTTTACTTGCTTAAAAGTCTTTTCTACAAACCATTACGTCCAAGTATTGGTCCATTGGATATATTTTCCGATGAGCCGCAGTTAACCACAGCCACATCTGTCAGTGAGTTGGTACGTCCGCTTTTCTGCAAGGCAACAGCTTTTCTAGCATGCCGTGTAGTTAATACACCCGTTTCTATATCTCTCTCAAGCCGGTGACCTTAATAATATGGTTTAAACAAATGGCATGAGTAAGGCAATATACAAATTACCAGAACGGGATCGAGTTAGCTGTCGTTGAACATAGTCCTCAAGATCTTCCTCCTCTTTTCGACTTATAAGACAGTTCAACACAAGTAAGAATAAACCCAATCCTAGGGAAAACAAACCTGTACACGTAACATCATTCCACCAGGCGGAGCTAGAGCCTAATAAAAACAATAGAAAGTGTTTATACAGTTATTTTGCTATTTTGCTATTGGCAAGAGGTAGGCAGTATAAATACGAAAATAAATGTTGATAAAAAATTTAAAGGAGCTGACTTTGGGATGCCGAAGTTTGTATGAGTGCAGTGTACAATTGAATCGAATGGTCAAATCTCAATGTAAATTAAAATATGTTGAGAAAAGGAGAAGTTATTATATATTTATATATTATTATATTTTCTTATATTAGTTTCCTGATTGTTCTCCTGGCAGCTATCTGATTTAGTCGTCTGATGCGGCCTGTTTCGACTTCTACTACCTACGATAAAAAAAGCCTACATGGAAAGTTTAAACCCGATAGCTTGACAACTGACAGACTACCCTGCACTACCAATCATCAGTAATTCATCAACATACAGGTCGGTGTTGTTGATGAATAATTGATGACAAATTACTGATGAAATTAACATGGGCATGTCCAAGGCCGTCATAAGTGACCAATTCATCAACAATATTCACAATAATCATTGTTTCACTTATTTTAAAAAGTTTTTTTCTTCTTTTTCCTTAAAGAAATTATTTGCTGCTAAAGCCTAGTACTCTGATGACGAAAATCCGCTGTACCATGTGTTATAGCAGAAATGCTATATATTTTGTTCGGTAACCAGTGTGACCAAAAAAATTAAAGAAAATCCATAAAACGCCATGAAAATTAACCTTTTATGGCGATTAAGGCTTTTCTTTGGTCACACAGGACGAGTTGTTTAACTAGAATTAAGATTAGGGTTAGGAATAAAACAAGAAAGAATGAGAAATTTAAATAAAGGCGGGCGCGGGAAAAAGAACACCAATCCTGAAATACGGGCACAACGACAACGCCGACGGAGGAATAGCGCGCCCACCCTTGAACAACTGATATTAATCGAATGAATCTCACCGATCTAGCAACACACTGCCTATCGACCATTGAGAACTATCGACTATCGATCTTCGGAAAACAGCTGACGGTCGCCCATATAAAGCGACGCACAAGGTAGGGAAAAATTACTTTTGCGAAGCAGCCGAGCAGTAAACAACTGGTGAGTGAACAATTAATACTAACCTTAGGACAAGATTTAGCCCTGGAACTTGGTAGCTCACAATAGTAAGAAAAGGTGAAGGTAGCAGTGGGACAAGGTCTGACCCTGGTCGTCAGACCTTGTAGAGTAGAACGGGAGGGAACAAGATTCAGCCCTGGTGGCGGATCTTGTCTAGCGAAGGTTAGGTGTGGGACGATGGGGTAACCGAGTGCGGTCCATATGAGCAAACCCGTACGCATAGTACAGACGTGGGTCTAGATCTGGCCCTGGCTGGCAGATCTCGAATAGGGGAGGGACTTGAGTAAAGTCCATCAAACTCGTGACAGCAACCACAGGAGGGGACAAGGTCCGGCCCTGTTTGGCAGATCTTGACAGGTGTAGGGTAGCAGCGAGGCGTTAGGGAACGGTGCGAGCTTAGGCAGTCGCCTACTTCGAGGGATGTCGCCCGGACCCATCGACCGTGACCACTGCAGCGGCCATTCCGCGATCGGTCACGCGTCCCACGCACAGTCGCATCACCAGTCGTATCAACAAGTCGATCACACTCGCGTCCCACTCACATTCGCATCGCCCAGAAAGGGTATTCTCAAGCCAACTCACCGCACACTCGTCGTGGAGTCGCATTACCCACTACAGGGTGCCAACAAGTCGACTAACCCAAACAAGGAATAACCGGGATATTCTACTCACCAACGAAGTCGATGTTGCCCCTCCGCACCCGTATCCAGGGTACCAAAAACGCCATACTATACTCTCTTTTTTACACCCTGTAACTGAAAAATTACGAATAAATTAAATATCGAATTGAAACATTCTGGCTTTTTACTGGTTGTTTTAGGACACGAGGGGCCTGGACATATAAATTTTCTGTATGAACCCCGACCAAGGCGGGCTAGGCCATGCAACCCCGAAAGAGGGTCGTGACAGTGGCGTCCAACGCCCTGAAACGTCGAACGCCTTAATAACTAAGTAAAACCATGGCTACGATAGGGAAACTGACCAGAGGATGGGTGATCAGTTTGAGCAAGACCCAGATAGAGGGATACATCAGAGAATTCGGAATGGAACCAGAACAACTGGTGGAAGAGCTTCGACGCCAGCTATCCGAGTTCATCAGGAATGGGAATTACGACGAAGAAAGAACAAACCGACTAAGGTCATTAAGTCAGCGACACGCTAGAAACAAACCGCACAGCCCAGTGGTCGAAGTAAACTGGGACGTGATATCAGCAATGCTGCAAGCGGAACAGGAGAAAAAACCGACAAACAAACCGACGAAAGACCCAGGAAAACAACCCAAAACCGGAAAACAACAAAAAAAAAAAATGGCCAAGCGGAACGCGCAACAGCCATAAACACCATTCGAGGACGGGGCGAACGTAGGACGGAACAGGAGACGCGCTGGAATTCGTCATACGAATCGAGGAGTTAGCAGCAGACTACGACATCGGGCTTGAGCACATAACGGCAGCAGCGGTAGTAATACTGAAAGCACTAGACTGGTGGCGCACGAATCCAGGCATAACACACGACTGAGCAACGCTCAAAGCGCATATATTGCAGAATTACCTACCACCAGACTACAAAGAAAGAGAGCAATTGAACAAATAACGAGACGCCAGCATCATAATGTGTCATAATAATAATGTCTCATATCACACTCAGCGAAGATCATAAACTCGAGTGGACATAAAGAAACAGCACTACAGAGCTCAAACGATACGCAAAACTATCTGAGACTAATTGGAGAATTTGAAACGTTGGGAGCGATCATCGACCTAACTGTCATAGCGTGTGGACGTGTTTCATTTTTGTGCTCCTCAAAAAAAAGTAAAAAAATTTGTTTTTTTTTCCTATAAAAAATATTTTCGGTCTTCCGTTGAAAATTTGTTTTCCAAAATAGCGTCTTGTGAGTGTGTTTTGGGTCAACTTCGTGTACGTCTGCCTCTCGCTTTGCGCTTGCGCAAGCGGGAGGGTTAATAATGGATAATTCTTTTAAACTTAAAGATATGCGTAAGATTTCCTCTGCAGGCCCGGGCGAAGCTCAAAGCGACTTGTCTACCTTCTTAGACAGATTGGTAGATTCCAATGCCACCAATAAAAGCTCTCCTGCTGAGGTGTCAAGCTCTTCGGAATCAGATTTTGACATTAAAGCAAATGTGGCTGCTGTTCAAAAAAAAATGAGGGATGCTTTAAACTGCCCTGTGAAAAAATTTAATGCTCTCTATGCCTCTCATTCTGAGATTGAAGCTGATCTTTCAGCTGAGAAACCAACCACCTCCCGTAAGGCAAGGGAGAAGGCTTCCCTCGTTAACGCTGCTACAAAGCAAGCAAGTAAGAAGAACCAGCTCCCGAGTAAGGCGCTGACTAAATTGGACGCAGCTCAAGCTCTGGATGTAATTAAGTCCTCAGCACTCCCTCTGTGGAGAGGAGCCGCTCCTGGGGGACTCATTCAAAACCCCCCAGCCGAGCTGGCAAACTGTCCCGGGCAGGCCTTCCTTCAAGAGGCGTGCTCCTGGAGCTGATCTATTATCCAGGAAGTTGAAAATCAGTAAACCCCAGATGGCGAATAGGTTCTCCCCCCTTTCTTCGTCAGACCTCGCACAGGATATGGATTGTGAGGATGAGGACGTCGTTGTGGAGGAGACTTCCTCTATGGCTGAACAAGTGGCTGCTGCTGCTCAGCCCCCTGCTACCACCATCTACAAACCGAGGCCGATCACTGTTCCCAATGTGAATAACATTGTAGAAATGGAGAAGGTGCTCCTGCAGGAGATTGAGGAAGATGGTTTTGAGCTGCGCACTGCCCGCTCTGGAGACTTGCGCATATATGCCAAGGACTCCACCACCCACAGAGCCATTACCCGGCTCCTGTCTGCTAACAATGTCATCTACACGCATTTTTGCTTGAAAGAGGACAGGAGCTTCCGTTTAGTCCTCAAAAACCTGGCTGCTACTACACCGCAGAGCCTTATTATTCAGGAATTTACAAAATTGGGGCATACAGTTGTGAATCTCTACAACCCCCCGTCTAGAACAAGAAGCTCTGGAACTCAAGAAAAATCATCGGACCAGGCGAGGCAGAACTGCTGGTTTGTGGACCTTAAGCAGGCCCCTAATAATAAAGAAGCGCTATTGATTGCTAAGATTGGCAGGCAGAGGGTTACAGCTGAATTAAAAAGGGATAGCAACAGGCTGAAACAATGCTTTCGATGCTTCGGATTTAATCACACCAAGAACTATTGCCTTAAACCACCAGTCTGCGGAAGGTGTGGAGACAGTCACTGGACGGGCTCCGAGGCCTGTAAGGCAGTCATCGCAGCGGATCTCTGCTGTGCTAACTGCGGAGAAGGCCATGCGGCATATGACAAAAAATGCCGTATCTTTGCATCTTTGCTTAAGAGAGTCCTCCCCAGAGAGAATTTGCCATTTAACAACTCATGGAGAGGTGCCCGCAGACGTGATACTGCAATACCGTCGGCAATGCTTCAACCAGGGTTGTCGTATGCCCAACGGACGAGAGCCCAGCAGCAACAACCAGCCGCGCATACGGCCGCCTTTGAACTTCCTCCTGGATTCAGGCAGGCAAGCTATAACCTGCAGGACGACTTCCCAGTGCTAGGAAGCCGAGGCAGGTCTCATAATACTACAGCGCCACCCAACCCAGACTCTGATTGGGACATGACGAGGATAGTGACCATGCTTACCAGCCTCAAGGCCACTGTGGACCAATTGGCTTCCTCCTTAGCTACGATATCTCTTGTTGTAAGAGAGCTGAAAAGAGGAATGCCAACTATCCATGGGGACCCTTAAAGTGGGTATATGGAATGCCAGAAGTCTCCTTGCTAATCGAGAGGAGCTTCTGGTGTACCTCTCAAGACATAGCATTGACATTATGCTTGTGTCTGAGACCTTCCTTAAACA